CCTATCATCTCTATCTAGGCTTCTTCTAGGTCTGCATCTATTTCATTAGTTTGGGCATTTGGTATGTATTATTCTTCTTCTTCTTTTGTATTTGGTTGTCTTTTGGTTGATTCATCGTTTGTTTCTTGGAAGACCATCAGATATAGCTCATTTTGTTCAATATTTGGTGCTGAAATTTTTTCGATTTTAACATTTAAAGTACTATGCTTTTCACGGAAAGTAACTCACTTGTTCCATTGAGCTACAAGTCTGAAATTATTGTTTTGAACTTCCATTATTGTCATAGTCTCTCTGAGATTCGTCTTTCGTAGTCAATCTGTCTAATTTTTATTTTTGTATTAGTCGTAGAGGAAGGTCGAAATCTTTTGGCTCCTTCCTATATTAAAATATGGTGATAATCTGGAATTGTTAGACCATTATTTACAAGAGGTGGTCTAGAAATGAATTGAATCATCAAAAACTTCGGCACCGAGAGATAGAAAGCCCAGTGATTTGCTTCTTGATCTGTAAAGACGAGTCACCTCTATTTCTATCTAATGCGAGTAATATGTGACTTTCTATAATAACTAATATACCAATTTCTCGATTTTTTAGTAGATATTAATAGATTCTGTAAAACTTTCTAAAAAATAATAAAGCAAAATATAATCATCTAATGGCATAAAATACAGGAAATTAAAAACTATATGTTTATAATGGCCTTAGAGTACTTTACCATTCAACAAATTATTTTTTTCAAATACTTTTTCTTTTCAACTCTCTCTCAATTTTTTTTCTTGACCATCTAGAAAGGCTTAACACGGTAACCAAAAAAGATTTTCATCATGTTTAAAAGAATTGATCAAACTCACTTAATCAGTGAAATGGCCGACTTAACTCAGATGATTACTCTATCTTTTTGGCCATGAAATCCAAAATAAAGAGGCTAAAAGTGTTAGTATTATATATGAAAATAAAATATAATTTCTTGAATAAATTGATTGCTTACTTGGTGTTCCCTTTTTTAGGTCTTGTCCGAAAATTAAATAAAGTAAATAAAAAAGAGAAAGTATAAAAATGACTTATTTTATTTCTAAAGTCTTTGAATCTACAATGATTGAATTTACAGGGAGCCTTTGCATTTTTTAGTGCAAATGTCATAGTATGTTACGTTGTCATTTTTCTTGGTGTGTTTGTTTCCGTATGTGGTGTTGTCATTTATTGACGCTGGTACATAACGTCTATCATTTCTATACTATACAACTTTACAGGTGTGCGATTTACAATTGAAGAAAAAGTAATTAGTAGTGTATAACTTTACAAGTGTATGATATATAATTAAAGAATTAAATGTGTCTTTATGATTGTGAGAATTTTTTGTCTTCTTAGCTCCAACGTTTTGACTTTCTTGGCTTGATAATTGTCATTTGAACACTATTCATCTATCTTTTGGTTTTCCTTTAGGTTTTTTCTCATTTAATTGCTTATCTATCCATCATTTATATGTAGGCTTATTCTAGATCTGCATCTATTTTATTAGATTGGTCATCTCATATGTATTCTTCTTCTTCTTCTGATTGTCTTTCAGTTGATTCATCGTTTGTTTCTTGGAAGGTCATCAGATATAGCTCATTTTGTCAATATTTGGTGTTGAAATTTTTTCTGTTTTAACCTTTAAAGCAAGATGCTCTTGACAGAAAATAACTTCATTGTTTAATTGAGTTACAAGTCTGGAATTATTGTTTTGAACTCCATTATTGCCACGGTCTCTGAGATTCGTCTTTCGTATTTAATGTGTCTAATTTTTATTTTTGTATTGGTCTTAGAGGAATGACGAAATCTTTTGGCTCCTTCTATATTAAAATATGGTGATAAGCTGAAATTATTATACCATTACTTACAAGAGGTGGTCTATAAATGAATTGAATCATCAAAAACTTCGACATTGAGAGATAGAGAGTCTAGTGATTTGCTTCTTGATTGTAAAGACGAGCCACCTCTATTTCTATCTAATGCAAGTAATATGTGACTTTCTATAATAACTAATATACCAATTTCTCGATTTTCTAGTAGATATTAATAGATTGTTTAAAACTTTCTAAAGAACAATAAAGCAAAGTATAATTATCTAATGGTATAAAATACATGAAATTGAAAATAATATGTTTGTAATGGCCTTAGAGTACTTTACCGTGCAACAAATTAACTTTTTCAAATACTTTTTTTTTCCCAAACTCTCTCTTGACCTTCTAAAAATGCTTAAGACTGTAACCAAAAAGATTTCCATCATGTTTAAAAGAATTGATCAAACTCACTTAATCAGTAAAATAACCGATTACTTTATATTTTTAGCCAACTAAGAATCTGTTTAAGTTTAGGTAAAAAAAAATTGAAGAATCTTTTTAGAATGTATATGATGTCTATCATGCCGAACTTTAAGGTTTGATAAAAAAATGTCTTATTCTTCAAAAATTGTATAATCGAAAGAGATTATATGATAATTATGTCTAAGAAAGGCTGAGTTAGTTGCTGATTCATATTTAGGGCCATATTTAAGAAAATATCGACTTTCATAGTGATAATAGCTTAGAATTTGAAAGAAATCGATAATTTCTTGTACTACTGACTCATTTATAGCACTTCGGGCAATACTGGCACAATCGCCAATTTTCTGTTCTAATTCATATAAAATTATTTCTTGCCCTGCAGCTGTAGAATCTGTTAATTCAATAAGTATTTCTATTTAATCAAAATAATTTCTACTTGTTGAAACAATATCTTTAGAAATCATTAAATTGCCATGTAACTGGAGAATCTCATGTTGATATTTAGTAATAATCTGTTGAGATGAAGAGATTTCGTCTTCAAGGATTTGTAATTTTTCTTCTAATGACTACTTCTGAGATATAAATTTCCATTGGTCATAGTTTCACACCTATCACAAAGTTGTATTTAGGATGAAGATGACACTTGAGAAGTCACGTGTTGCATAGTCTATCAAACCCTTTCAGATATATAAAAGTTAAATCCTATCATTCCTCCACAGAAATTTAAAACTTCTTCTAATGTGTAAAATCCTTTGAAAAATGGATATGGAAATCTATTTACCTGTTGCAGTACTTCTGACCAATAATTATATATACGAGGCTTTCTACTTTTAATTACTTAAAAAAAAATACTAAAATTTTTGTTTTCTACTTGATTGTGAATTTGTCTAAAATAATTAGATAAAGCATTAATGCTGTCCAATTTTGGTTTGGAGTTACGTGACATCCAAAGATTATCTAGTGGACAATGTTCTCTTTCTAAATTATTTCCTCCGAATTAGAGATTAGATTCTCGTGGGGCTACTCTTAGAATGATATTCCCAAAGCTCATCATCATCTGATCCATGAAAATAATGGGTTAGAAAATTAATAACTTTTCTACTTAAATTATCAGCCAAAATATTTTTTTTTTTTCCGTCTCTGTGTTCTATATTAATTTTAAAGTTGTTTAATACTCATATAATTTTAACCATTTTTTATGTCTTATTTTATCAAATTTTTTTTTAAAAAAATAAATTTTACTATAGCTTCACAATCTGTCCTAATTGTAAATTCGGTATTTAAAAATAATTTAAAACTTTCTATACTATGTATGATCGCCAATATTTCATAATCTAAACTTGTCAAATATTTCCTTTATCTCATACTCTCCACTGGCATATATATAATTTTTTTCTTTTTTATCACTATATTTATTAGGTCTGGAATATAAAACTCTTCCCCATCCAAGTTCACATCCATCTGTTTATATTTCTTTTTTCTTTTCTAAATCTTTAATAAAATGTCTAGCATAATTNNNNCTAAATCTTTAATAAAATGTCTAGCATAATTCAAAATTTCAAAAAAGACTTGTAATTTTTTAGTTTCTTTTATTTTATTTGGGAACTGTAGAAGTGTTTGTACTATATATGGTTGCAACTGGATTTTTCATTTTCCTAAAATTATTCCTAAAAATTCAAATTTTTATTTATTTATTTTCATTTTCATTTTACTTATAATTAAACTGTTTTCTATAAATTTATTTAACACTATTTCTAAATGTTACATATGTTCTTTCTGATTTTTATTATGTACCAAGTTATTGTCTACACATACACAAATAAATGAAAAAGAATTAAAAATACTATCCATCTTTTTTTGAAAAATAGAGTCCAAAATACATGATTAACCATTCAAAATGTCCTCGTAGTGTTTTAAAAGTTGTCAAAGGAATATAATTTTTTGCCATTTTTATTTGTCAGAATCCAGATTTACAGTCAAATTTTGAAAATATTTAACTGTTTTATATTTTATTTAATAAAATGTTTTTATTTGGTATCTTATATCCATCTTCTACAACATTATCATTTAATTTTTTTTAATTTATAACCATTCTTGTTTTGCCTCTTTTAATTTCACTATGATTTATAAACATAAAAAATTGTTGATCTATGTTGACTACTGGAAGGTCTTATTACCTTTAAATCTAATAAGGCACTGTTTGATACCATAAGTTTTTCGTGGAAAATAGAATTCAAATTCCATTTCCACCAAAAAAGCATGTTTGATGGGCAAAAAGTTCTTGCAATTGATTTTCCCACCCAAACCCCCACGCGCACCTTTTCTTGATTTTGGAAGAA